CCATAAGAATTTCTTCAGGAGCTTTACCGAAAGTTTTGGGGTCGGGATAAGATAAGGCTCCTCGCAAAATATCAATGTCATAAATTTGCTTATATTCTTTTTCGTTTATTTGTTTAGTATCTCCGTTAAAAGTGGCTTTTACCATTGCTGCCGAAACATTATCACTTAAATCAATTTCCCCGCATTCTTTAGTTAGGGTAATGGATAAACCATACTTAATTCGGGAAACTCGTCCCATTTGCTGCACTAAACTGGAAATTTGGGTAAATCCAAGAGTAGGCTCAGAGTAAGTAAAGTATTTACCTAAATTAGTAGTTTCGGTGGCTCCTAAACAAATTACCGTATCAATCCCTGGAGTATAACCCATTTCTTTGGAACCATCGACATTATCAGTTGAACCTTTTGGTCTCCCATGCGAAATATCCTCACAGTTTTCGTCAAATTCAGGGGTGTAAACCATGTAAGATATATTATTACCTAAGGCTTTTATTTGCTCATCGCTCAATTCTAGGTTTTTCCCAAAAATCCAAGTATTACCAGTCTGAATTCTTTCTTCTAAACTAACTTCAATGGGGATTGGTAAACCGGTTGTTTCATCTATTCATTTAATACTGTTGACCGGCACTTCTCGCAAGTTTTCCAGTTTTTCCACTTGTTCAGCATTTTGATAAATCATTAATCCTCCCGGCATATTCGGATCTAATTTACCACTAAATACTCGCTTCATTGGATAAGAGGAAGTGGTGGAAAATTCGGCACCGGGGAAAGTAGCAGACATTCGCAAGCACTTATAGCCCGCTTTAATCATTTCGAATTGTAAGGATTGATAACCGGCATCATTAAAGTGAGCTTCATCAAAAACGACAATAGTGTCTTCTTTGGGGATTTGTTTTTCTTTAACTTTTTGTTTTAGATTTTCATCGCTTCAACTTTCTACTCCTTTACTTTCGACAAAAAGATTGCGAGCGGTAAATCCTAGTAAATTGCCAAAATACATAATTGATAAGCCTTTTTTATCCGGTTCCATGCCCTCTTTTTGGTTAGTATTAGCATTTTGTCAATAAGCCAAATCATTCTTGGCTACCGGGTAAGCTCCATGAGATTTATAAAGAGATTTCATTTCCGGGTCATGTTTTCCCTCTTTAATTTCTTCTTCGGTTGCTCTCTCAGTAGGTTTTCCTCTTAAACAATATGCCATTTCCACTTCTCCTTTGGCTCCTCCATGAAAAACACAGCCTCAATCTTGTAATCAGCTAGAATGGTGTTTTAAGGCACTATCGACTAATCCGGTAGTGGGGCAGACCAGAATAATATGTCTTTCTCCCCCTTTAACTAAACAATTTATCAATTTGGTAGTTTTACCAATTCCGGTTCCAATCGCTAAATGTCCGGCATTCCCTTTATCTCCTCCGATAGTTTCAATAGTTTCTTCTACTCATTTATCTTTGCTAAACGCCCCCCCTTTAACAAATTTCTTTATGGTTTTGTTTCCAATTTGACAAAAATGGATATTAGGGTCGGTTAATTTGTCCGGATTGAACGGATAACCTTTGGCATCTTTACTTTTTTTATAAAAGAAGTCTAATAAATAGGCTCCTTTTTGAGAAATGTGAAGTTTATCCTCGGCAGTAGTTTTATCTTTGGGTAATTCATAACCTCCTTGCTTACTTAATCAACTATGGGCTTTTTGCTTACCTTTTTCTTCATAAGTTCCATATAATTGAGCATTCGGAGTGTTTAAATCTTCTCATTTAGTATCTTCTTTAAAAAGACCAAGGGCTTGGACATCCTTATCAGCGGCAATAAAATCATTTAACCGCTTAACGGTCATTGGCTCATAATTTGGCGATAAACTAGAAAAAGGCAAAAAAGAAGAAGTGATTAAAGAAACTCGTACCGTGCTAAATGGTTTAGTAGAAGCCAAAATAAACGAATTAGCCGCTAAAGATTACGAAGAAACTAATAAAAGAAGTAAAAACCCGAACACCATTAAGAAATTAGCCGGATTATATAAATTGACTGATTCCCAAATTGATTACCAGAAAATGAAAAATGAAGAAGGTAAATTAGTATGAACTTTATTAATGAATACTCAAACATAAACTTATGAACATAAATATAACTCAAAAAGAAATAAATAGGCGGATAGAAATCGCTAAAACTCATTTAGCCCAAATTGGCAACTCCCAAACTTTTAGAAAAGAAATTGAAGCCACGGAAAAAGCGGCAGTAAAAGAAGGCATTGAAGCCTATTGAAAATTACAAGATAAATTATCCCGTGAATTAGCCAACCATCTAATAAATTACAAAGGAAGCAGTGAAGCAACTGCTTTTTGTTTAAGATTAGCCGATATTCTAAACGGCATTGAAACTCCGGAAGAAAAATGATACCGAATTAGAGAAAACATTAAAGAATTCTTAAACTCTGATCCTGATATTGCTCGCTCAGAAAACTTAAAAAAACTAAGTGAAGAAGCCATTACCGAAGATACCATGGATGGTTATTACAACTTACTAAAGAGTTTCAGAAAAAGTTATGATGAACTGGAAAAACTGAAAGGTGGCGAAGAACCAGCGAACAATTATTTAGAAAAATTAACGAATGTGATTTATGACCGAAAGTAAACAAAAATTAACAAAGGAAGTTTGAGAGCAGACAATCGCTGATTATTTTGTCAAAAATGTTCTCTATGAAGAAATAGACAAATCTACCTTAATTCATGACCTAATTCAAGCGAAAGCACGAATTGTTCTACTTGAATGAGAGTTATCTAGAAAAATTAAAGAAATATGCTTTGCTTGTAGCAAAGAAACTAGCAATTATATTTATGAACCCCAATTATTTAGGTATTTTGGAAAAGATTGTTTAGACAACAATTCGCTACCAATTTTAAAATGTTCGGAATGTAAATTACCAGAGTTTGTAAAAGGTGATAAGATATATAGTGTGTGGAAGGGATTAATCGACCGAGATTATCCTAACTCATTTTTGAGTTGACGGCACGGAAAGTTGATTTGTCGAGGATGTTATCAAAAAACCATAAGAATTTCTTCAGGAGCTTTACCGAAAGTTTTGGGGTCGGGATAAGATAAGGCTCCTCGCAAAATATCAATG